CTCCCTGCTGCCCAAATGGAAGAGAGGATCTAAGATGACAGGACAATCCTATCATCCAGTCATATCCCATCATACCCACTGTTGAGACAAAGAGGAACATGTTGTGATGCTGTGAACCAGGGGAAAAGAAGAGCTGAAGTGTCCATTGAAGCCTGTGTTTATAATCCAATTATGTGACGTGTGTTATAAAAAAATTTTTTTTTTAAATCAATCAACCAATCAATGTTTAAAGGGGTCATATGATGCTTTTTTAAAGATCATTATTTGGTGTATTTGGTGTAACAGAATATGTTGACATGCTTTAATGTTCAAAAAACACATTATTTTTCAAATACTGTACATTATTGTAGTAACTTTGATAAAGAATATCTCTTTGGATTTGAGACTTTAGTCTTTGCAACTTCAGGGATCTTATCTATGCACAATCAGCTTGTAACACTCCAAAGAGAAAGGAAAACTTGAAATCGCATCATATGACCCCTTTAACTGAAAACCGTATGCTTATGTAGCCTTGTGATATGTTTGCATTAAGGTGTGTGCATCTATATGCCTCCATCCTAAATAATTTAGACACGGACATCCTGCCATCTTTTTTAAAGACTTTCTTTCTTTAAAGGGGTCATATGATGCTGCTAAAAAGAACATTATTTTGTGTATTTGGTGTAATGAAATGTGTTTATGCGGTTTAAAGTTAAAAAAACACATTATTTTCCACATACTGTACATTATTGTTTCTCCTCTATGCCCCGCCTTTTTGAAACGCGTCGATTTTTACAAAAAACTTTTATAAAGAATATCTCTTTGGATTTGAGACTTTAGTCTTTGCAACTTTACAGATCTTCTTTATGCACCAAGAGCTTGTAACACTCTAAAGAGAATGGAAAAAATGAAATCGCATCATATGACCCCTTTAAAGACTTTTTCTTCTATTCTCAGAATCTTTTTCATATTAGATCGCACGTGTATATCCAGGTATATAAATGCTTGTGCATTTGTCGTTGTTAACATTTTCTTTTAAATATGTCTGTATAGTTTATATATTTTTTTTATTTTAGCTTTAGTTCTTTTAGTACAAGTAAAACTAAATGAAAATTAAAAATGTTGCCTTGGCAGCTATATAAAACATTTTATTTGATTTCATTTCATTTGAATTATTTTACATAATAATGGACATTTTTATGGTTTTGGTTTTAGTTAACTATAATAACTTTACATATAGTCTATGTACAACACAAAAAAACTCTGAACAAAAATGTCAACGATGTGTTTGTGTTTCACAACTGTATGCTGGGCATCTTAAACCTTGTACATAACACTTAGGCCTGGTTTCACAGACAGGGCTTAGGTTAAGCCAGAGTTAAGCCATAGTTCAATTAGGACATTTAAGTAGCTTTTATAAATGTGCCTTAGATAAAAACACTACTGATGTGCATCTTGAGACAAATCAATGGCACTGACAGTGCAAGTTTCTTTCAGTTAAAACAGCCCAGACATGCATTTTAGTCTGGGACTAGGCTTAAGCCTTGTCTGTAAAACCGGGGGTTAAAGTATTAATAAAGTTGGATTTGTGTGAACTAACACATTACACAAAAGTTATTTTGCAACTTGAAGCCAATCTGTGCAAATATACAACTATGAAAACACATCAGATGTAAGTTATTAGAAAGTGTTAGAATGAGTAAACATGAACTGCCAAGAAATATCAATACTACAATCCAGCCTGTACACATAATACATAACCACTTTACATTTGTGTCTTATAATTTGTCAGATACTGCTGAATAGACAAGAGAAGAAAAATATCTGAGCACATAATTCTGACAAACTTACGCTAAACACTGTGTACAGATTTAGTGGTCTAAGCAGCATGTTCTCTTTTCTAATTTAAAGACACTCTGCAGCCCTCTTAGAAAACTACAGTCTCCATTTCTCCTCCAAACTTGCATTCGAGTATGCGGTTAAGACAGCGATGCCTGTCTGTGGCCCATCTGTATGCATACAACAGAGGACTGACTCCAAGGAGGCAGAAGGGCGGGAGGAAAGGAGAACATGCCATTGAGAACTGCTCTTTCAGTCCACCACTGTTATTTTTAGCCTGACAGGAACCTCGAAACAGGAGAGAGCAAGAGACATGCTTGTGATAAAGAAAAAAGAGGTTTGATATGTCAGAAAACGTGTGGGATTTTGTGTGTACATACCAGATTGTACCATAATTCTTTGAAACACTAATAGTAGACCAGGATATGTCAGCACCTGCTAACACAAAACTAGCTTGATTCTAATAATGGCATTGATCATCACTGAAAAAAATTGTATGCCAGTTATAAGCAAACAGTAGTTTGCTTGAGAAAATGAGAAGGAGGAATTGAGAGAGAAAGAGAAAGAAAAGGAGAATAAATAATTTAAATTCTGCAGACTGAATGTAGAGCACTGCCTCTACACAAAGAAGAAAACTGCAAGGGCTCACGACTGGGCTGTGCAATATATCGAAATATCGCAAATGTACATATCCCAATATGCATATCGCTACAGCTTGCAATATTTGGGGCCATGAACAAAAGACAAAGAGAAAATCACTCTCTGCTCTTACCTAAATAACTTTTGTAGCTTAAATAAGAATCAGTGCATATTGAATTCAAAGAGTAAATACTACGGTTTTTTATTTTTCCTTTTTATTATTCAGTTCCTAAACTCATGTTAAAATGATTACACTAATGTTAAAACGACATTTTTATGTAGTGCTCGAGTAAAACACATACCGTTCACTTTCATAAGTTGTTGTTGGGGTGCTTTCTTATTAGAATCAGAATCAGAATGAGCTTTATTCACTACTTAAGTGTGCGCAAACACAAGGAATTTGTTGTGGTTTTACAGGAACATACATGCATACAAATAACCATATATATATGACACAAGATAGTTATAGAAGTTCACAGAACTGACTCAGCAACAGCTGAGTAAAACTGTTTCATCTGAGCATGTGGCACTTTAAGCATTATCGTATCACATATCGAATATCGCATTATTTAATGAGTTATCGCATATCGCATTTTTCTTCAATATCGCACAGCCCTACTCACGACTCACGACAACTTCTTTCTATCAGTCTGTCTCCCTCTGGTGTCCACTCAACCACTCTTTCTGCCTTCTCCTCCAACTCATCTATTTATAGCACAGTATATTTTATATGATTAATTTCTCATTATTTTCTATATGTCATTCTTTGGTGGAAAACTAGACTTGATGGTTGAGTTCAAAACTCAATCGACTTATTTGTGGTTGAAAACATTCATGCGCCTCTCTTACTTCAATGAGACCAGAGGAACAAACATGTTTCATGACTAAATTTACATTTCTTGACTTTAACATTTTTTTGAGAGAACTGAGCACATATTTAGGGTCTCTTCGGACAGATGTGCATAGCTATTTGCACTCCATATAGGCTGCAATTTCATAGTCGTCAATGAAACTAAAATAGAAAACACAGCTATAAGGTTACATTCCATTTACAGTGCAGAGAGAGACTGCTCATAAGCGTAGAGAGGCTGAGACAATGTAGGCATCGCAAATGTCTTTTTAGACTTTCATTATCTCTGTAAAGAAGGTGAAAGAAAGGATGCAATGTTTGGCAACCATAAATTAAGTCTACCATTTCATCTAATCTACATGTGACACACTCTTTCGTACTTCAGCAATTCATAATGTCTGATCACAAGCCCTCATTAGATGTTTACATGAGATAAATCAGAAGAATGAGGCTTATAGAAAGAGTGGCTTTCAGGTCGAGTGCAAGGTTAAAGGTCACTGAAAGCTCTGGCAGATCAAAATACAGTGTCAAAAGAGGTGTGTGTGGGTGCGATTCTGTGCACATTTAATGATTTTAAATCCTAAGAGGTCTATTCGTAAAGGCAGGGTGTGAACTTCTTCTGGAGTCTGCTTATCGCTAAAGATTTGTTTATATAAAACACTAAGCTTCGGTGAACCATTAAGGGTGAAACATGGTCTTTTCAGGACATGCCAAGTCAAAAATACATACATGATTCAATGGATCTGCTCAATGGTTGCACACTTTTAAAAGTTTATTACAAACGGTTATTATTAGTTTATTAACACTAGAGAAGTAAATTTTTCATCAAATGCAGTACATATTGTAACAGTACGCGATTTTAGAAGTAGCCAACTCTATGTCGCTCTTCTCCACTCAAATACACCATTCCTGACAAGCTTTCAGTCTGTGTGCTGCTTGATTTTGTAAACAATTTGTTGCCATAAACCAATGAGGTAACTAGCCAATTTTTGTCTGAAATGCAAGTTGTGGGTTTTTTTTTTTTAAGTATGCTACATGTTTACTAAGCTGATGTATAAAAACAATATCATGCTCATGGTCACGCTGTATTTAACATCAGCACTGATGTGATTACCTGCGGCCTTGTGATACTGCTTTAACAATTTCCAATTCTCTCTATACACAACCCCTTTTGTCTTTAAACATAAGGCTCAGTAGGTGCACTATGAAAGATGCAAGTACACACATATATCTCGTATTCTCTAGGAGCTCTTAGAATATGGGAAATGGTGGATTTCCCCCTCCCCTCACCTCCCTTTTTCACCATCGCTTTCTCTCGAATGAGACCAAGCTGAGAGACTGCACATGCTGACATCAGCAAGCCTCCGCGAGCCACAGCGCCGCCCGCTATCGTCACACAGCACCGCTCACCTCACGGCCGTACGTAACACACCGAGCACACACCAGAAATAGACTCGATTCATCTTGCCACCGAAATAACTTGACAAATAAACGCCTGAAAATATTCTAATTAAACGTCTGCGATCAAATCACCAGCTCGCGCGCGATTTTCTTCAAAGCCATCATTAAGCCAGCAGTAATGTGATTCGTGTTTTAAGACATTTTCAGGTGACCTTACATATGCCACAATCAAGTGCACTATACCTGCAACTGGAGGCCACAGGGTACTCACTGAGGGGGTTTAAAAGGATATGGCCATTCGGTGATCTTTTTGGCGTATTTTCTCACAAAGTTGTCCTCACTGAAGATGAACAGAGATCGGTTGACAGTGAAGCAGTTTTGCCGCACCGGTATAGGGTTGTACAGGGCCATAGTTCTGGCTCGCTGGGCCATTGACTGCTTGTACATTCTCGGAGCACCCGGCGGGCCGCCCTGCCTGCTGCCGCCGCGGCCGGGTCCCCCTTGAGCGTGTCCCGGTCCTCCGCCATACCTGGACGGCACCTCATCTCCGAACCGAGCCATTCTATAGACACCAAATGCCAGTCTTCACGAAGCAGGAAAAAGGGGGGCGAATATTCAACGCGACCACACCACATTACATCCCATCTGCTTCAAAACTTAATACGTGTATAACTGGAGTACACATTTGTCTTCATGGCCTTTATATGTGATGTTGCGCTCCAGAGCCGATGGTTAGACTTTAAACAAACGAAAAATAAAACGAACAAAAAACAAAAAAAAATTGAACAAAAAAAATAATAATCGTGCCTTATATTTTGTAGTTCACAGGTTCGTTGCCCACTTCAAACACACAAAATGGTCCATCATCACCTCGTTTTATGTCCAAAATCAACATATTTCCACGGCCATGTAATTCTTGGGTAAATCTCTCGTTTTCTGTGGCTCCATCCTCATATTTTCCAGAACTGTCTCTCTCCAGTGCTTTTTCTTGAAAATTCAGATTGCAATTATCATAGCTACAATCATTTATACGATCTAGGTGTGATAACCAAGTGAACAAAAATGAAAACATTTAAAACAATCGTTTGAGTTCAGTTTTAACTGTACATTGTGATGAGTACAGCACCCATATCTATTTAAAAGGGGGGAAAATAGGATAAAATTGTGATTATTTATTTATTTCGCAACATCCGCAATATTTGGCACAGTATAGCTATAATCTGCCTTCGGTCACCTCGCGCTCACGTTTACTCGCATGTATTTGCATCTCAGCTACAGAGATGTGCGATATCCGATGTAAATTCTGTTTTCCTCTTCTTTACGACACAGGTAATTTTTCGGATGCAAAAACAGATCATCACAAGTATCGATTGATTTTTTGTGCTCACTGGTAAGGTGTCATCCTTTTCGCCAGAGCAAATCACTGGCATTTCAGTGCAAAAGAACCAATCCAACCGTCATAAAATCCTATGAAGGGACACACAGTGACAGAAAGTAGAAGCATCAGTCGCGAGGGGACAACGGCGACATCTCCGGGTTCCCATAGCCGCTTCTGTTCCCCTGCAATGGGCTCTGGGCCGCGTAGGATCTGTTCATCTGTTCATTCTTCGTGAAAACACTCGGATCCCTCTATTCCTTATTTCTGCCAATGTTGAGCTGTCTGTTAGCCTCGTTACTCTCCGTCAAGCGCCCCTGAGGAAAATAAAGAGGGGGAGGAGGCAGTTGAGGACGACTGTGGGGTGGGGGCTCGTAGGATATCAGCTTGTGAAACACAAGCCGAACGAAACCGTTAGCTCCGATCAGCTGGCAAGCTAAGCTATAATGAGCCACTGATCAATTTAGCGCTCTGGCCAGTTCTTCTTGCAGCACATGACGCACGGCACACGCGCCCCACTGATTAATTTATTCTTCTAACTCCAGTCTGTGTACCTTCAGTCCTTACTGAATGTGTTCTCAGCCTCAGCTCACCTGCGTTTACCGCATGAAAATACCGTCGGCTTGTTTGACACAGTTTTAGAGATAACGAACGTAACGAACTGACAGCGCGTTGTCAGGTTATGGACTGTTTGTGCCAGTGGTCGTGCTAGTTTTATGATTTGTAGAATTATCTTTAAATTATTCCAAGTGAACAAACTTAAGAAGTGGTGAGTCAGAGCTCTAAACTGTGGCCTAAATTCATTAATCAACCTATGAACCGAGAAAAAAAAAACATGCAAATTAAATGCTATATAAAGAATTCATCTAAAGTAATCGAACACCCACAAACACAAAACAAACCTGAACTTCATTATCTCTCAAAATCAAAACTGACAATTTAGTGACTGTCCTATATAGTCTAGCAGCTCCTACCGTATAAAAACCCTGATCGAGACAAATCATGCTCATCATCCTGACAGCTGCCTCTATACAAGAATTTTGCACAGCTGTGATATTACATCACTAAAAGACATTTAAAACATCCACACATTTTAGACCACACAAGTGAAGGGAATGCATCAAAAATATCTTAATTTGTGTTCCGAAGATGAACGGAGGTCTTACGGGTTTGGAACGACATGAGGGTGAGTAATTAATGACAGAATTTTCATTTATGGGTGAACTATCCCTTTAAAAATGTGAACATACACACACACAGTGCCGATCAAGAATTCTGAAGTAATGCTGCTGTGCATTTGCGGCAGAAGCTAAACTCAGTGACTCATAAAATTGAATAATTCATAAACAGCATGTATACCAGGTTCTCTGCTCCTTATTTAACCTTATCTTCCAGATATAAATCCTACTGGTCAGTGGAACGGGCCACAACATATAACCCCTTTGTATGTTAGGATGTCAGATGCAATAAGCATGTACTAGAGAAAATAAGAGAGTTGAACACATAATTGTGTTGTGTGTTTATGAGCTTCTTTAGAGGTTCATTTCAATTTATATTCTGAATACTTTATACTATTAAAATGAAAACACAAATAATAGACACTTTTTGGCACAGGTAAGTAAGAGACAAAGATGAATATGTAGCTGTGATACTAAGACTGTGGGAGAGCGTAAAGTGGGCCATCATCCTCTGAGCAGAGTGTTTTATTTGGGGAAGAGCCTGATGTACAATACATTTTTAAACAGCGTAGAATTATTAAAAGCCCCAATGCCTGACAAAACATCCATTCATTTCTTTTCGGTGCCTCTAACCCTTCTAACATATAGACAGTCTCATTAACTGCACCAATAGGAGATTAGCAAACAGACCATTTCTGGATAAACATGTTAATATAACGTTTTGACAATCTGTCAGGAACTATTGTGCAATTAATGTGTCAGTGTTGCAAGAAATAAATAGTAAAAACCATCAAATTATCAAAAAGGCCAGTAATAGACAGAAATTTGGAATATCTTTGTTAATCTGTTTATAGCACTTGAACATTGACTCAAAGTGCTTGTAAAGTGCTCCAAACAGCTAGTAAGTAGGCCAGCATCTTCACAAAGGGACAGAACTGTCATCACAATATATGCTTTCACTCATCTGTCATACTTTCTTCTCGCGCTGCTTCCCTAACTTGATTCCCAAGCTCAGTGCCCCTTTTCCACTCAAATCCAAACATTTCTGCTACATCTGTGATTCCCATCAACTTAAAGGGATAGTTCACCCAAAAATGAAAATTCTGTCATCATTTATTCACCCTCATCTTCTTTCAAACTACATGACTTTAATTCTCGTTTTGAACATAAAAGAAGATATTCTGAGAAATGTCTTTGTGTTTTTTGTGTCCATACAATGGAAGTCAGTAGTAACCAAAACCTTCTTCAAAACTCTCTCTGTGCCCTCCTCCTTGTACCTCTCCAGCAGGAAATCAAACTCATTTATGAATCTGTATTTACATTACAATCAATTGAGCAATTTATAGTCGCTTGACAAACAGTCTGAATCTTAGAGGCTTAAACGATTTCCTGTGTTCTTTAGATCAGCTGCTGTCAATCATGAAGCCTATTGAGAAAAGGCTCTTGCAGGAGGACAGGCTTGGAGGGCAGCCAGACAGACCTCAGGAAGTGAGATAAATATGTTGATGTGTTTGTCTGTACATGTATGTATGTAGCTTAATAAGAATGTTGCTGACCTATCCTACCTTAGAACTTCAGCTGGCTACCAGTTTTTCTGACAAGTTTTTGCTTTTTTCTAATGTACGTCTATGGAGGATCTGTTTGTTGGGTAAGAGTAAATACCAAAGTAACAAAAATATGGTATAACATTGTTTCCCTTGTGTTCACAGTTGTGTTCCCTAATGCTATCAATTGTAATTAGGGTTGCATAAAGGCGGGAAATTTCCAGAAAATTACCAAAACTTTCCAGAAATTTTGGAAACTTTCCGGAAATGTTCCACCCCTTTGCAACCCTAATTGTAATTGCTTTCAAATTAAGCTTTTTTTTTTGGTCAATTGACTGAAAAAATGGTTGCCTCAATTATAATTTGCAGTCTCCGCTGTTTTGAACGTTATTGCTAAACTTCACAATTTCTTTCAAAAACAGCAGATAAAAACACTTTTCAACACTATTTAAGCCAATGTAATACTAATTCCTTTTACTTTGCACTTCATGAGCACATTTTACTGAAAATAATGCTATTCAAAGAATGTCTGGTTCATTTCAATAGGATGATTTGTAAAGCTGGTTTGAATTAGCAAGAGTCACCAAAGGGACAATGTTTAGCAAAGGGTAAATTATATTTTCAGAGTGTTCAAATGTAAAACTGATTGTAAATGGGTCTCATCTAAAGTTGCCTCTAAAAGTGATTTAACGTTTGTAAATAAATTAAAGAGAATTCCTCCTCTAATATGTAGAAAATACTGAGCTAATCTGTAATGTAAACCAGTACATATCTGCTACAAAAACACCAATAAACTATTCTGAGGCTATGCTCTGAGTTATTTCAGGCTTTGCGATCTTCTAATCTTTGCTGTATTGGCTACAGCATGGATATATTGCACATTCCCCAGAGCCATGTATCAGCACTCAACGTCTTACTGCCTGTAAATCTTACTTGCATACAGACTGTTTAATGCCCACTTACTGCCACAAACAGCACTGCCTGACCATTACCATTACAAATAATTACCATCATTACAGTCTTGCAGGCTAATTGATGAGAGAAACCAGTCAATGTGGTTTGTGTGTGTGTGTGTGTGTGTGGAGTGAGAGAGACAGAGAGAAAGAGAGAGAGAGAGAGAGAGAGAGCGAGAGAGAGAGAGAGAGAAAGATCTAAAAGAACAGTGACATAAGAGTCTGAAAAAGCACAGTCACTGGAGAGAGGTTTGGATTGTATTATCACAAGTTTGGATTATAATATTTACCATAGAAATAAACACTGAATAGCCAGCAGGGGGAGGGGAGCGGGAGATATTTTACATTTAACAAAAACATGCAGGAAGTTAAAGCTGGTTACTTTATAGATTTAAAATGTGACATTTCAGCCAAGGGGCAAAATAGAAAGAGACAGGATTTTTTTTTAAAATATCGTGCATGTTAGGAGGAAATCAAAAGAGGATGCTCCCAGAAATAAAGGTTTTTATTTTCATATTTATCTATCAGAGCAAGCAATAGTCATGTGGTCACCATTGCTTCTTGCACTCACAGAATCCCATAAAATTGTATTTTGTCGTTGAGCACCGAATATAATGCTGGACGGACCGCTGCTGGGCTGAAGCGATTTGACTCAAATACTTCATGTCCCAGAAATCTTAGCTAATTCAAAATGGCGCCCTGTCAATGACAGTAGTGACAATGGTACGCTTAATATAGTGGATATTTTAAGTGTCATAATATGTACTCAACAGGATGACACTACTAATTAGAGTATCGAAACAAGTACAGAGGAAATCTTTCCAAAATCCCTTACTGTATAGGTTTTCATCTGAGAGCTCGGCTTTACGAAAAGGCTCTGAGAGCAGAGCAAAGAGTAAATGGTTGTTTGGATCGTTTCAGGAAATTTTTGCCGTAGTGCATGGACATGTTGAAGTTAGACATAATTTCATCAGCGAGGAAGAGGAGAATGTCCTTTTCAAAGAAGTAGAGACAGGACTTAGAAAAAAGCAATATGAATTTGACCACTGGGACGATGTAAAAACGGAGAAGTGTGTTCTGGCTATACTGTAAATACTGCTATCCAGCGTCATTTCATAACAAAACTCATATTGTAACTGTTGTTTGTGATTGCTACTCTCAACGTTTTATGGTCGTATGTTATGAGTATTGTTTCTGGAGTTTAATTACAAACTACCTGTACTTTCCAAGTGAACACAAGACTTTCTTGAAAATGTTCCCTTCCTACTATAAGTGAAATAGGTGTGCTGCTGATTAATAACACTTTTCTTCGTGAAAGCCCTGAAAGTGTAAAGAATTTGAAAGCATAAAGAATTTGAACGCGAACCGCACATGTTAGCCAATCAGAAATCTTGCAGGTGGCGCTCTCTTCCAATCCCATAAGTTGTGGGCGGGGCTACTTTGTCTGAACAATGGAAGAGAAGGAAGTGTTTGGGAAACCTGCTTGGAAACAGTCGTTTTGTCATCGTTGGTGCTGCTCATACCCTCGAGAAAA